TCTTATATTTTTGGAAACAACAAAACACATAAGTTAGAATGATTGAAATTAAGTGGTATATAAAAAATATTATGACATTCCACATGAGTTATTTCTTTAACAGAATTATGTGAAGGAGGTGTCTCATTATTAACACTACTCTAGTTTATTTAACTTTTTAAAGTACTTTGTAGAAATATCAGATACTTTTTTGTTCTAAGATTCCAAAAAAAAAAAAAAATAGTTATGTTTTATTAAATGTAAATACATAATTTGTTACGAAATTAATCTTATCACAAAACTGGGTTGGGTTGGGTTTACAACAACGATTGATATCGTTAAGATATGAAACGACTTATTTTTAATTTTTAATTGTTAATTCGTTTTTTCCTTTAGAATATTTAGAAGATTTTATTTTAAATTAATCAATTCTTCTCTATATATTTTTCTGTCTTATTAAATTTAAGTTTGAAATGTACACTTAAGCACTTATCTAAAAATATTACCCCACTTCCCCCTAAAATGATTATTTTTAAAATATTTAATACCACAAAGAACATAAAACTAAATAATATATCATAAGTCAGGGTGATTTATTAAGAGATTACAAAAATATGAAATTCAATAAGATATATATTACTTTAAGTCTTTCTTCAGTGAATGAAAGCATAGTACTGGGTTAGCATGGTTTTCCCTTACTAATGTCAAAAGAAGTACAGGAGGCTAACGTACGTAAATTTAGTTCTCTATATGAAAATAACAGAATGTTTTTAAGCTACACTACTCCATATAAAAGTATATTAAGGTGTCTTTAAAATAAATATCACTTCCAATGTTACCATTAAGTTTCTTTTCTATCACAAAAATTAGTTTTAAAAAATTTCAGAGCATTATTTAAAAATATTTAATAATCAAAGTAACTATTAACCCTTTGAGTTATACATTTATTTATAATTTTGTAGGTGGTTTCATAAGATACTACACTTACCAATCGCAGTAAAAATATTAAAAAATTGTTTCAATATAATACTTCTAGGGATAGACTAAAACATGGCCAGGGGCCGCAGTTATTCTGTATAATAACTTCCAAAGTATATGTTATTGCTCGTCTGCTGCGCCTTGTCCGAATTCCAATTTGGAACTATCTGTATTAGTGATGGGTCGTTCACGAACGAACGGGTCTTTTTGAACGGGTCATATCAGTGAACGAGTTGATCCGGATTGCAAAAAAAATAGATATCGTTCATTCGTTCATACGTTCATTCATTCATACGTTCATTCGTTTATTCGTTTCACGCAATATATCGGACACACTGTTTCATGATTCGTTCATTTACTGAATGTTTACCTGCACTTCGGTTAAAACCTATGCCTAACCTTATATTCTTATAATATAAAAATTTAAAAAAAAAACGAAGAATATATTCTTTATAAGTATATACTTATAATGTTTTCTTAAAGAATTAAATAAAAAAATACTTATTGCCAATGAGAGTTAAAAAGCAACACTATTTGGTTTGTGATAAAAACATTTTTATTGTAGGTCTGCAGACTAAATTTTCAAAGTTGTGACATGTGTCTACTAACATAATCATGCAGGTTTAATACAGTTAGATTATTTCAAGTATCCTACTATATTGTTCATTTGAAGAACAATTTTGATTATTAATATATAGCTATTTATTTCATAAATATTACATTCATATAATTATTTATAAGCGAAAATAGGTCTATAATTTAGTGAATTTAGCAACTAAGACAAAAATTGACTATTAGACTAATATAATTGTTGTGAGAGGTATTAAACCACCTCACTCTTTTATAATCTGGTCATAGCTGCTGTAAATTGTAATATCTGATTTAGGTGAATTAATTTCTCTATAAAACTCCTTTTATGAAAACAAATAATTTAAATGATTTCGCTTATTATAGAAACAAATTCTATGGATTTATGTACCGCAACTCATCCGCTAGTATAAATTATTTGTTTTTATTCTATACAAAAATATTCATGTATAACAGCATATTATGTTATTTCAAGTAATTTGTATTTGAAAAAATAATATATAACCCGATTATACAAGTGTATTATCAGAAAAAATTCTGATATCACGGTAATGTTACATGGTGAAAATGCGAATTTG